TTTAGCCAACATGGGTACGAGTTTGTATGTGAGTGAATTTTTTATGATGTGTAGAATAGTGTTAGCCTTAAACACTTTTGTTACTTTTGTTAGCGCCCTTCCACCGGTGGTCCCAACTATGCACCCTAAAGTATTAGGACATGGGCCAACATGCAATCCCTTCATTGTGATGTAGTTATGCTCGCAGGGGGGCCCTATATAGCATTAGTAGTGGTAGGCGGGTAGTGAAAGGTGAATTAAGAAAATAACATAGGTTAGTTAAAAAAAAAAAACCTCAAGTATTTTAAAATTTATGAATAATGGATAACAAAAAAAAAAAATTGAATCATATTGTAACTTTGTAAGTTTTTTTCTAACAAAACAGAACTCTCATTTCACGGCCTCGACCTCATCCCCACAAACACTCATAATGGGTGTTCCCCCCCCCCCGAAGCGCACTCTCATTTCATGGCCTCAACCTCAGCCCCTCTCCCCCTTTTGTTTTGAAGTCGTTTTCAATTTGTGATGGTCACTTTATGCCCCTCTTCAAGCCCATCCCCCAAAATGCACTTTTTCCCTACATACTTCTTACATCTTATTAACTTACTGTGAAGACACATGCGTGCAGTCTGTAGTTTGTCTGTTAATGTGGCTTGTCATATTTCTTATGCATAACTTCAATAATGTGTGTGTGTGATATATATATACACATACACACACACACACACACACACAGATCTGCAGCATGAAGTGTGTCAGGGAGCATAAGGGCAGACGCTAACCTAAAAAAAAAAAAAAAAAACTTGAAGGAAATGTTTTATTCGAATATAAAAGTTTTTTCTTTTCAAGATTCAATCGGAAAGTACATGGTTTGTATTCGAATACAACGCATTTGCATCTTATTTCAAGTATCGTTCTATTCGGTCACGGTAGAAATGGACTAACTTCTTAATTCCAAGGCTAGGGGGGCGCATGGCATTTGATTTTTTTTTCCAGGACCGCGGTCAATATTGATTTTGGGCCTGCAATTTTTACACCCCTTAGAAGCTTCTGCCTACAATTTTTACACCCTTCCAATTGACTCAGGTGTATATATATTGTTTCTTAAATATTTTTTAAGGCTATTTCTTGAAGCCTAACCAATTCGATTACTTATCGAATTTGGACAGGACGGCCTTTCAGGCCTTTTTTTTATTGTCATCATAGTACTACAGGAAACCCCGTAGCATCCGCATCCGTGCTCAAGCCTCCAACGAGAGAACATGCAGGAGTTGCACCCACCAACAGGTATGTTACCTGCTACAGCAGGTGGGGCGATACCGGCTAGGGGTCAGCCGGTAGCATAAGGACCGAGCTTCTTCGATGGGTCAGTCACTGTGCCTCCCCTTCAATCCCCTCCCCCTATGAATATCAACAGTATTTGCTCAATGTCATTCCTTGGTACCAACGACATATTTATAGGTGGCAGACACCAAGCTTGCCCAGGAAGGTACGTGAGGCCAATGGGGATTGAACCCAAAACCTCTTGAATGCCACTTGCATGCCTTACCAACCGAGCTAAGTCGTTGGATAACAACCCTACTGGCTGCAAACTTCTTTTTTTTGTGGGGGGAAACTACGCAAAAGTCACAAAAATGAGTTATAATTGCACTATGGGCCAAGATACAATTTCGAATTGCAGTTCAGGCCATGTATACAACCTAACTTTGTAGCCTGGTAACGTGCCTGAATTTCAATTGCAAAGTGTATCTTGCACCATAGTGCAATCATAACTCGTTTTTGTGACTTTACTGAAGTTACCCATTTTTTTCTTCTTACCTATCAAATCTGGACAGGATGGCCTTTTATGCATTTTTTATTTATTACTGTAGTGTTACGTGGAACCCCGTAGCAGCCAGCCGGACTTCAAGCCTGACTTCACCCGACCTGCAGATGGCCCATGCCGGCCAGGGGTCAGCTGGTAGCTTCAGGATTAAGCTTCTTTGATGGTCTAGTTCGCAGCCCGTCATAGGTGCGTTTTATACCCCTGAGAACATTTTTCGTCGTCGTTCGTTATACGGTCGTTGGAAGGCTGGAAAAATAAGGCATGGCAGTTTAGGGGGTGGTGACATTTTATTCGAAACTGCAGGACCGGTAGCTGCCCGTGGAACCGCATGAGTTTTAGTCCACGACCGCGTAGGACCGGTAGTTGCGCATAGGAGGCATAGGAGGCCAAGGAGGCCGAAGTCCTTTTTCGAAATTGAAACGGTACAGGTCCACTTTTCTCGAATAGCAGAGTTCCTGGAATAGAAAACGCACACGTTGTATTCGAATACAATCTGTACCCTTTCTACTCGGATTTCAAAAAGAAAAAACTTTTGTATTTCGATAAAATTACTTATTCTTTTTGTTGGAGATCAGCGCCTGCCCTTGTGTTCCCCGCCACTGACATGCTGCATGCTGCAGGTCTCTCTCTCTCTCTCTCTNTCTCTCTCTCTCTCTCTTTCTCTCTCTCTCTCTCACACACACACACACACACACACACACACACACACATACACACACACACACATTTAAACCTTAGAACAATAACCCTTTGAATAGAAACAAAAGACTAAAAAACCATAATCCTAAATAAATAAGATAAAAATTAAAAATTTAAAAAATAATAAGATATTTTATTAAAAATAAATAAATAAAAATAAAAATAATATAAATCAAATAATAATAATAATAAGCATAAATAATAATAGTAAAAATATAAAACTTAAAAATTTTTAAAATAATAATAATAATAATAATGATAATAATAATTAAACAATAACAAAAAATATAGATTGTAAAATATATATAGTTAAGTAAAAAATAATAAATAATAATAATTTAAGCACGCTATAATCTTCATCTTGTACCTTGAACGCAACCGCTACAAACCTACCAATAACCAAACTGTCCGCAAACACCACTAACCACAACGATATAAATACACAGTACCTCATATACACAAGTATAGTTATGGGAGCCAAAAATTAAAAACTAAAAAACTAAAAAATGTAGCACCACAACCCTTTAGCAAAACCAAAACAACACAAATGTGACGGCCTGACTAAAACACGGACGATTCATATACGACAAGAGATCCCTCGAGTAATAAGACGCAAAAACGACAAGCAAAGACCCAGAAGAACGCCAATACCTAGAAAAACAAATGATTAGCATCGCAAAACGCCATAGCCAAACGCTACGACGACACACAAAAGACAAAAAACAGCAAAAAAAAACGTGTACGGCCGTAAGCTACCTCAGAACATGCCCAACACAGACAAAGTATATATGACAGCACAACACGGACGACGCAAGACCTGCAAACTGAATAAGCAAAGACACCATACCTAACACCCACCTACGAAAAAAAAACAAATTGCTACACAAACCCCTTATACACAACGTTACCACCTTTAACCCACCTATGAAGTATACGCCTGATACCACATCTGTGCGAATCCCCCTACCCCTTACCATTACACAGACTACGACACGATTAAGCGAGCTACAACTAGTATACAAAGCCATGGTGCCCACAACTGAGCACAGCTATACGGCAAATGAATGCAGCCACAACGCTACTACTGTGCGAACTACTGCTGCCCACCTGCCTTCGCTCTGTATAGCAAATCACACAAACTGCCACTTCATCTTCATCCCCCCTCCTCCTACCTATGAAGCACGAGCACTGACTCGTGCATATAGCCAGACATACGACAGCCCAGTGTGAGCTAATCCTCACACACGCTCGACTGTCTGCTGCACGAGCACTGGTAGAAGGGAGCAGCGGCTAGACAACAGCTTCCCCTCGAATCCGGTGGGCAACCACTTACTCTTTGTATGTTCGCATGGTACTGACTTGTCACTGTGTTAATTGACTTATGCATAAATTTGTATTCCATAAAATAATGAATAGTCGTGTTCTATACACACCCATTACTATCCTCTCTCTCTCTCTCTCTCACACACACACACACACACACACACACACGCACACACGCACACACGCACACACACACACACAAACGCACGTACACGCACACACACACGCTCTCTTTCTCACACACACACACACACGTACTCTCTCTCTCTCTCTCTCTCTCTCTCTTTCTCTCTCTCACTCACTCACACACAGACACACACACAGACACACACACACACACACACACACGCACATACATTCTCCTGTCTATTGATGGGGAGCGCCACCTGCTGGAAAGTGGGTGCAGTGTCCCATAAACATCGTGAATAAAGCACCAACCAGGACCCCACACTCACACTCTCTTCGAGTTGTGTATAGCAAACATGACAAAACATACATACAACCCCAAGCGGCATTCAGCGGTGACAGCTGGCATTCATAAGAGGAGTGGACCGGAGGGAAGGCAGAGCGATTGACTTACCTTGAGGTCACGTGTGCGCAGCCCGTAGCTCGTTTGTTTATGTGGTTCGGGAAGGGTAAGGTAGTGATTATGCTGTAGGTGGCGGGTGCTAAGCCTGCCCAGGAAGGTACGTGAGGCGAATAGGGGTTGAACCCAAGACCTCCTGTATGCCACTTGCCTCTGTTACCAACTGAGATAGGCCGCTGGATTGGGCTGCAAACTTCCAGAACTCAGGTTTTTGTTTCCGAACGACCATGCAGAAACTCACTACCTTACCCTCCCCCAACCAAATCAACAAACAAACTACCCGTGGCCTCACGGTAAGTCAATAGTCTTCCGTGGAACCCCTCAGCAGGGGTATCGTCTCACATGCGAGACTGCACCAAAGCTTTAGGTGTGCGACACGGCCCAGTGGGTCAGCCTGTAGCGTCAGGACCGAGCATTTCTGGACGGCGGGTGCCAAGTATGCTGGAGGCATTGAACCTCTTGGGTGCCACGCCTGTGCCTTACCAACTGCGCTAGGATCGCGGGAGGAAGGTTCTGAAAGAAAAAAAGGGTAGCAGGGCCGATGGCGCGGCCCGGCTCGAATCCCGTCCGATATTTGGAGTGGCCATCGCAGTGTGCTATCCTGCAGTCTTTTTTGTTCTCCCTATCGCTCCAAATTTAACAGATGTTCCGACGCTCCTTTATAGTTTTTCGGAAGTTCGGGACGAGGACAAACGGAAGGAAGCATTCAGGAAGCAGCGATCACGACAACGCGGAAAATGAAGAGAAAGGGCATGGCGTATCGTTATGAGGGAAGACCGAGAAGCGTGCACGTGGCGAGCTAGCCACCGAAAATGTATTGGTAAGGTGCCATCTGCGCCCTGACGGTAATAGGAACCGCTACGGAGGCAATCGGGAGAAAATTGACTTCTGATTGCGTTGTGAATAAGCAGGCTATTGTCCATGTGGGAAACTGAGCGGGCGCACATGATTTCGCCAGCAAGGCCACATCGAGGCGGGAAGTTGCGTGCGTACGGAGGGGGCGGCTAGCTGGTCCGATTTGTAGAGTCTCGGGGCGGGGCACACACACACACAGAGAGAGAGAGAGAGAGAGAGAGAGAGAGAGAGAGAGAGAGAGAGAGAGAGAGAGAGAGAGAGAGAGAGNAGAGAGAGAGAGAGAGAGAGAGAGAGAGAGAGAGAGAGAGAGAGAGAGAGAGAGAGAGAGAGAGAGAGAGAGAGAGAGAGAGAGAGAGGTAAAGAGGCGGGAAGAGACATCGATATTCGGATTTTGGAGTGATCAATGTTTCGTGGGGATAGTTGGCGGGTTGCCGCTGTCCAGGGAGGATCTGGGGGGAACAGAAGCGAAAAGAAAATAAGGTTGTGAATTGGCGCTGGGAGGAGAGGGGAGAGAAGACCGAAGTGGTCGGTCAGGGCCGAGACAGAGGTCGTTAGCGGGCCGGTGAGGGGAGGGCAGGCTAGATAGGGCGCGGGAGTGAGAAACTCTTTATCTTGTGCGATGGACCAGGGTAAGCTTGGTTCCAACCAGCCGTCTGCAGGAGTTCGCGTGCCATCGGTTCTTACTTCGAATCAAAACGAGCCGTTCTACGAGCTTCTCCAAGCCTCGACTGGTGGTGGAGGAGGTGCTCATTCCTCGGGCCTGGGGTCTCTCTCACCTTCTGCCCAAACCTCGGGGCCGGGTGGTGCAGGGTATCATCATAATCATCACAATAACCCAAGCGGAATTCCCGTTGGCACGACCCCGCTGGTTGGCGAGGTTGCACCGGGAGACCTGCTGTCCCATCTTGATATCTCATCGGTAGATATTAATCCTGCAGCTATCAAGGCACCTGTCAGCGAGGGGCCACGTGGAGGAAGAGGCGACGACTTCAAACACGGAGGTCGCGTAGTATCGTCAACAGCAGCCGCGAGCAACGGCCCGCAATCTTTCCCGCCATCCGATTCCGAGGTAAGCCGCGACACCTACCTATCCCAGCGTGAGCGCTTGCCCGTGCACACAATCGTAACTTCGAGAGTAGAAGCCCATTGACGCAGAACTTAGGGGAGGCGGGGATATGCCCGGACGGGAAGAGATGGAGTGAAGAGGACTGGAAAGTGAGAGAGGTGATCAGCGGTGATTGATAGCTAAACGAAGTAGCAACTGAGAGGAACGTTGCACACGCGTAGCGCGAGCGCCGGCACGTCCACACAATCGTAACTTCGAGAGAAGAAGTCTATTCATTGACGCCAAACTTAGGGGAGGCGGGGATATGCCGGGGCGGGAAGAGAGAGAGTGAAGAGGCCTGGAAAGTGAGAGAGCTGATCGGCTGTGATTGATTGCAAAACGAAGCTGCAACTGAGAGGGACGTTGCTCACGCGTAGTAGCGGGGGGCGAGAGCGAGAGCGAAAGCGCGCCAAAGTGGAGCTGTACAGGAGCTGGACAAAGAGGCGTACAGAGGTTGGACAAAGAGCTTTCTTGGGTTGGGCGGGCGGGGGGAGGGTATGGGCGCTTCCGACCTCCGGCTGTTGATCCGGTGGCTGCGCGAGGATCGCCGCACAGTTCTTTCTTTCTTTCGAGTAGAAGCAGCCATCGAATACCTTGCCAGATTATACAGCCTGGTTGCACCACTCGCCATCCGGCAACATTTCGAATGGATCTGGACAGAACTGTTGTCCATATGCATGCATTCAAGATCTTGGCGGATGGCGAGTGGTCCAACTAGGCCTATTAGCAGTTAAGCGAGACTCGGCAAAAGGGAGCTAAGTGAAAGGCTGCGATTCTCAGGCAGAGGTGGTTCACTGCACCAGACGAGAAGGGGGCTTTCCCGCCGCTACCCACTTGACATACCTCTCCCTACGTGGTGTACTTGGCACTTGTCGTTTCTTTCATCCATGCAGCCAAGCAATCTGTTCGGTTATGTGTATGTATATAGTTGTGTTTCTGTATATGATGGGTGGATAAGGCTATATGATTATGTTGATGATGACTGTGAAGGGATTCAGCCCTCCCGATGGCAGTCCCTATCTTGTTCTTCCTCTTCCTTGCTGCGCACGCAGTGCATCCAACACGTGTATCTCACATCGGGGCACGCAACGGATCTTCAAACGCTAGGTGTTCGTTTGACCTGTGTGTGTTCTTCTTTGCCTTGTGTGCGAAATTTTCCAGTTTATGGGCGTCGCTGCACTACTCTGGAAATGTGGAAAACGAGAGTGAATCTTCCGCTAGAATATGGAAAGATACACGGCCAATATTTTTGTCTTTTGTGCATTTGGGGAGCAGTGCAGCGAGGTCCTATGTCACGACCGCCGCTGAAAGACTGACGCTGTGCGTGAGATTCCGCAGGTATTGGATTCTGCCGGGGGCAGTGTGCTGGTCTCCAAACTCACCCGCGATTGTTCCCTTCCCGCGCTCAAAAGGGTAGGGAGGTTGTTCCGATTGTTTTGTCGTTTCCCGGGGGTCGGCTTGGAAGAGGTAGGAAGGAGTAGGCTGCTGAAAGCGGTAGCTGGGTGTCTATACTTCCTCTCCGATCTCTTGCGAAGGTTAAGTCTTCGATTAACTTGAAACTGACGGTCGCGATGATCGTGCGATGGCAAAGGTAGCGAGCGACTTACAGTAAATATGAGATGAGGGATTGTGTGTCTTGACTGATGGTCAAGATAACGATGATGAATGATGATTATGATGATGAACGATGGCTATCGCGTCGTTTTGGGTCGTGGTTGGGACACAGCGGGCTCCTTCGCTGATTGGCGCTATGGGAGCTATGGGTGATGAATCGATTGATTGGTTGATTTGGTTGATTTGCTTGCTCGTTTGCTTGTGGTTTCTTTTTGCGAGCTGCTGCTATTGATCGAAAGGGGTTGCGCAACCACGAGTCCTTCGAAGTCGGACTTGTGTGTCTTCCAACGGTGCTGTGATCAATTACTGATCGGCGCGTTGATTGTACGATGAAGGGATAAATAGGATGGGGGAGGTCGCGGTTTGTCGAGTAAACGATCGCGCGCCCTTTCCATTGTTGACATTCGTTGTTTCGATGATTATCGCGTCACATGATGAGAGTTCCGACTCGTGTAGAATTTTTGCAGGGTTCAGGACGGAAAGGCAGTTTCGAATGAGATGCTAATGATGCCAATCAGAGGTTTAACGGTTGGGATCGCGACTGGAAGCGCTGCGTCACACTTGGTTTGGATCACAGTGGACACCGAGTAGCAGAGCCCACGAGCGAAACCCCTGTTCCCATGGTCGTATGGCCGCGCTGGCGCGAATTCGATCGATTGCGGAGTTCGCTAGGGGTAAAGGGGGCATGCCTTTTTCGAGGGCGTGGGCGAAAGGTGACTCCTTCCTTCCTAAGTGATTGGGCGCGCGAGCGCGCGGAAAACGCTGCCGTATTTCGATTGCTAAGTTGCCAGTCCTGGCTATATTACCACCCCACCTTCGCACTGCGTGTTGCGTCGCGGCGGGCTCAACGGAGACTCTGACTGGATGGTGAAGGCGGTTCTCCCACTCAAATAGGCCTTTTCGCCGCCGCCCTTCGCCCCCGCCTTCCCCCCTTTCACTGGGTTCCGGTCTCGTCCGAGTGCCTGTGGTCAGATCGCAGCTCTCTCTGTCATGGATCTGGGTAAGGCAGACTGTCGAGGTACAACATCGTATCAATGATGAAAGCTGAGCGAAATTACCGGCTTCCTGCGAATAGAACGTACGGTCAGTATCGCTCTATCTGGACTGAAAAGTTGCCCCGAATGCAGGCGTAATGACCATACGAATAGAACGTACGGTCAGTATCGCTCTATCTGGACTGAAAAGTTGCCCCGAATGCAGGCGTAATGACCGTACGTTCTGTTCGGGGGAAGACGGTAGTGGGGCAGTCGGTAGTTCTGTTTAACGAGCAGCAGCAGGTATGCTCTTTGCTGTTTGCTGTCGGCTGTCTAGGATCGAGGTGCGCGGCTTGTTGTGGCGATTCCGCTTGCTGACTTCGTATGGATGGAGCTGTGCAACGATTGATGTCACTGCTGCTGGGGTGTGCTCGTTGACGGTGTAATTTATTCATGTCTTTTTTTCATTTTTATTTTTTTGGGTAATTTATTGATGTCGCTGCGGGATTGTAGCTTTCTTTTCCCGAGTTTGCCCCGTGCTCCGATCATCTCTATGTCTTCGTTGTAGAACGCGCGGGTGGTACTAGTCCCTTCTGGTCGTTTTCTGTGCGGCCGTATTCCTTGTTGCCCACGTGTTCTGAGCACGGCATATTTCGGATGGGGGGATGTTGCAGAGGATTTTCTAGTGTGCTTTCGGCTAACGGGAGGAGGTCACGTTGTCGCTGTGAGCATTCCGCGCGATCAGATGTGCGTGCGTGAGGAAACCTGCTCGTGATTAATTCTCTCTTTAATTCTTTTCCTTTGTTTTTCTCGTTCGCCCGTCCTAATTGATTTGATTGCGTGGTGATTTCCGTAGGTCCCTAAGGCGGAGCATTCCGCGCGATCACACGTGCGTGAGGAAAATTGCGCGTGATCAACGGTTAGCATTTGTCCTCCCGTTAATTCTTCTCCTCTTTATCTTTCTCTTTCGTCCGTCCTGATTGATTGTGGGGATTTCCGTGTGTCCCTGAGGTGGTAATATATGATGTGTGGTGAGACGAGGGAGAGGGAGAGGGAGAGACTACCTACCTACTGTCTTCCCCGCACACAGCGCACCGTCATCAGGATCGTATGAGGACGGAAAGAAAGCTCACATGTGATGAGGTGTGTTTACCGACTTACTTACTGTATGTACTCGACGGGAATGATTGCATTGTCGTCTCTCTCGTCCTGGTTGATTCGGCGAGAAACGGGACTGATGAATGGGGGGCGAGAGTGCAGATCGACCGAATGTGGTGAGGGCATGGGATCAAGCTTCCATAGGAGTGAGTACTAGTTAAAAGCGGGGACGTTGATATTTGTTCTGCTTGTCCGGTATTTTTTTGTGGGATAGAGAGTGACGATGATGATGTAAAGAAGTTGATACCTGTTCTGCTCTTCCGATATTCGTTCTTTATTATTTATTTTTTTCCCCTCTTTTTTCGATATTCGTACTTAATATGGTGGAGCGAGTGGTGGTGATGGGAAGTTGCGTGTCCGATCTCTGTCTGTCTGAATATGGGGACGTCGTTCGATGGATGGCAAGCTTTACACAGCATTCGATTGAGCGCGATCATTGGAGTAGACGTTTCCAGACATCGCTGCAGGCTCCAGAGTGTTTAGCAGTAGAGCACCCACCCTATTTGAAATCACATCGCGATCGTTGCATATCGAGTCACCTTCACAGCAGATATTTCACGATGAGTCGTAAGCAGCAGCAGTGAAGGAGGAGGAAAAAAAAAATTGAAAAAAGAAAAGCAGCAGCAGCAGTAAAGGAGGAGAGGAAGTGGGACATGGGGCCGGGTTACTGGTTTTCCTTTGTTCGACGAGCGCACAGCAGCACCTGCGGCGAGCCCTGCTTGAGGGCTCCCTCGCCGAGGAGCGACGCCTGCTGCTGACGACCGGGGTCAGGATCGCGTAAAGTTGGAGAGAAGCTTCGACATAAACTGCTGACAGGGTGGGGGTGGAGAAGAGAGGAGGTTGAGGGGAAGGAAGTGGTGGTGGCTGGGTTGGGCATGGCCGCGAATTGGTTGATGACGGGAATGTGAAGCGTCGTCGCCGTTCGAGCCCTTCGTTCTTAATTCTTCAACCGTGAAGAAGATAGGCATGGGCGTAAATCTGCGTCTACACTTATGACGACTTTATCGGGCGGGAAAGGTCGCTTGACTACGTTTACAATGAGGGTGCGTTGTATTCGGGAAGACGGCCCCGGATCGCTGATCGATAGATTACATGACCTCCGAGAGTCCGCCTTATTTGACACTCAAACGTGCCTCGGCTGCCCTGGACTGGTCTCCGCTGGTGGGGCTGCGCTTCTTTCTCTCTCTTTCTCTCTCTCTTTCTTTCTCTCTCTCTCTCTCTTTGTCTGAGTGGGGCTAACCGTCCTGTCGGATTCGTTTCTGTTTTGATCTTTTGACGTTTTGCTTAGCGTCGGAACTCGGGAAGAATCCCTCTCGACAGTGGGGAGTGATGAGGGGCAGCCGGGCGTCGTCTTTGCTAGGAAAGAGGAATGTGTAGACTCTCTCTGGATACTACACGCGATAAAGGAAGGTGGAGAGAAGGGAAGAGGAAGAGACGAGGGGGGGCTAATTTCATCGCTCGTCCTCTCTGGATGGATGCTTCACGCGGTAAAGGCAGGCGGATAGAAGGGGAGAGGAAAAAACGTGGGGCCGCGCCGCAAAAAGAAAAGGGCGGGGGGCTAATTCCATCGCTCGTTCAAGGACGTGACATCGGCGACGGCCCCGAGCGAACGAACTCGAATTCATTGACAATGCTGTTGAGGGCGTGTTAAAAGCTAATGCTGTCTATATTCTGCCTATACAGTTCCTGTTTTTTTTGTCCCTTTTTTTGCGCAGGGGCCGTTGATAATCTGCCTCTTCTGATGCTTTCGTCCATCGCATACGCGCATGAGCATCCGGAGAGCTGCCTGAGTTTTGTTCTCTGCTTTTTGATGGGCAACGAAGATGATATTGAATACCAACGGGCGTACCGTAGCCCAGTTGGTACACCCGTGAACTGTTGAAGCAGCAGACCTGAGGTGGCTGAATGAAATTCGTGAATTACCTTGGGCCCGTCAGTTCCACGATGGCAGTCGCCTTTTTTGTTGTCGTTGTTTTCTTCCAAAGTAAAAATGATATTGAACGAGGGCTACAAAAACCTTGGGCTTGTCCGGCCTCACCTCATTGGGTGCCCATTCAGCAAGAGTCTGACGTGGCAGGTCAGGCTGACGCGCGCTGGCCTTGCCTTGGTGCTGCAGACTGGTTTCCGGCACATACGGGGGCAATGGGGGTGCCCCTTCATCTCAATCCGCCGTCAACCAAGTCGGGGTGCTAACATTAATAATCAATTAGAGTCGTTGATCGATGTCTTCGGATGACTCTTCGCTTCGCTTCGTTAGGAGGCAGGTGGATTCGATCCTCCGCTCCTCGTTTGCTACTTGCTATCAATCCGTTTTCAGTCTTTTCTTGTGCGCAGCTTTCTGTTTTCCGTGCGGGACTTTCAGGGTATATGGCTTGTGAGACAGGGAACAACGGTGTGGCTTTTTCCCATGTGGGATTTACCAGTTCCAGTCTAGATACAGATATAATGACCGTACGTTGTATTCGGGGGAAGAAGGTAGTTGAATTACCAATTGAACATAACAAGGTGTAGCGCAGTCTGGTAGCGCATCTGTTTCGGGTACAGAGGGTCATAGGTTCGAATCCTGTCACCATGAGGCAAAATCAGAGTAAATTGACATGGAAATCAATCGACCACCATATGGCTGGCGAGACAGGGAGCAACGGTGTGGGGCTCTTTGTATTATAAGCATGGCCATGGCTGTGAATATCGACCCCTCAAGCGATGTTGTTCACTCATGGGCTATTATGCACGACGGCTAAGACGTAAATGTAGATGTCGATGGACTCTCGATGGCGGGAATTACTATTTATGAACACGGAGGGAAGTGAAGATGGATGAAGTGGAATTGGAATGGAAATGTGACATGTCGACAGAGGTGGAAACGAATCCTCCGGTATATGTATGCTGCCTGGTGAATGTGTGCGTGGAGAAAATACGGCAGACGAGTTCCTCATTGTTGCTCGTTCCTGCTCACAACTCTTGTGTCCGCAGCTCTATCCACATCTTTTTCCACACCTCCATCCTCGTCCGCAAATCCACGTACGTACTTTCACATCCACAGCTCCGCTCCACGTCCGCCATTCCATCCATCCGCATGCACAACAACTCGTACCGCCTGCACCTGCAAGTCTGTTTCGCCCGCGTTTGCAGCTCCACTGCGTCTGCACCTGTAAGTACGCCCCGCTCGCATCCCCAACACCACGCCATCCGCGTCCCCTCCGCACAGCTTCCCTCCATTGCAAAAGGCCATTCACAGCTTCATCCCTAACTCCAGCCGCAACTCAATCCATCAGAGTTGTACACACATCTCTTTGGCCAGTTTTTTGGTGCAGAACTCAACCAACTGGCTTTGTCCGTGATTTATACTAAGAAAAAAATATTGGACCATTTCTCGATTTATGCTTGTCATTCTTCCGCAGGGGCCATGCTAATCTTCTCTGTATCGGGACTCTGTCTGAAGTTCCATCTACGGTTCATATCTACCGCTGCCTTGATTCTCCGCTGTTTTGATCTCTCTTTGGCATGGCTGTTGCCCAGTGCTCTGATCCACCGCTGTTATGATGTATCGCTCTCGTCTGTCTGATGTTTGAAGTGTATAGCGTTACCGAGCGCATAGCTTTGGGTGCGCAGTTGGGAGTATAGGACATCAGGAGTTCGCGTGATCAGATGTGACGGTGAAGGCAGTTCGGGCACTGCTTGGCCGGCGAAGAGGCGGATCCGCCAGGCACCATCTCGAGGTGTTGACATGGTCTCTTCTGTCTCCCACGGTGGAAATCCGTTAGGCACTGACAATGCGGCTGCCCAATGAAGATCGGAAAAAAGGGGGAAAAAAACGAAGCAACAGAGAGGTATCTCTCATGGCGTTATGTAAGGCAATTCACCATTGAGCACGGTAGAGAGAGGTGTTCCATTTTTCTGCAGGAATATTCTAGTTGTACGCAGATTGGAGTGAAGCGACGAGCCGTGAAGCGAGGAGCCGTCCGGCCTGCAGCAGAGCTAATTGTCTGCAGCCATGTTTGACTGAGTTCAGTGCACCTGGTCTCAGAGGTGTTCCATTTTTCTGCGGAAATATTGTAGTTGAATGCATCTGTGGAGTAAGCAGCGGTCTGGCCTGCAGATCTATTTGTCTGCAGCTATGTTTGACCGAGTTCAGCGCACCCGGCTGGTCCGGCCTGCAGACCAATTTGTTGGCAACCATGTTTGACTGAGTTCAGTGCACCTGGTCTGAGAGGTGTTCCATTTTTCTGCGGAAGTATTGTAGTTGAATGCATCTGTGGAGTAAGCAGCGGTCTGGCCTGCAGATCTATTTGTCTGCAGTCATGTTTGACCGAGTTCAGTGCACCCGGATGACAACGTCACCAACAAAGGAACGGCACACATAAGAAAAACGCTATAGTCGACTCCTCAAAAGAAGTGTGGGGAAAAAAGGAACACGCTATAGGACTTTAGGTCAGGCTGTCCTTCGGGACATCCATTAAAACTGCAATGGTGTAGAGAAGATCAGTATGGCCCCTGCGCAAGGATGACACACGTACATGGAGAAATGTTCCAAACTATTTGGAAAAAAAAACAAAAGATTTTAAACCGCCAGTACACTGCCCCAGCCTTGCTGAAAAGAAAACTCGTCGCCTATGAAAACTTAATTCGGAGGCCCAGGACCGTAGATAAATTGAGTTGGCGGCGGGCGGCCTCCGAAAAGGGCCCGCAGCCGATAGCTGGATGTATTGGTGGTTAGGTCATGCTCCTCTGTGGTCTGAACCGTTTTTGCAGGCCGATTGCAGTCTGAGTCATGTCGCCAGAGAGAACACCTTGAAGGATAAGGAGATTGGATACTGGCGCATTTGCTTTTGATGCAGGTGCTCAGCCTCTCTCTTCACGCCTTTTTGCTGATTTGCCTTTCCAGGTCTGTGCGCATTTGCTATTGATGCAGATGCTCAGCCTTTCTTCATGCCTTTTTGCTGATTTGCCCTTCTCTAGGGCTGGCTGCCAAGATCTTTTACCATAGTGGTTTTGGCAATACCACCTCATGCACAGTCCGGTAATTCAGGGAAAGGGGGAACGTCTTTTGTCCTATCATAATGCATCGAGTCTCGTAAGGTCTTGCTGTGTTCCTGCATCCCACTAAGCCCTATCTCTGTCTGATAGCGACCGAACGGGATCCATACTTGCCAGTCGGGCTGGCTTTAGATGGGGGGTCCTATTTCGTCTCTCGAGTCTCCTAAGGTCTTGCTGTGTTCGTGTGGTGATTGCCATCCCACTAAGCCCTATCTCTGTCTGACAGTGCCTGACCGGGATCCATACTTGTCAGTCGGCCTGGCTTTTGACAGGGGGTCCTGTTCCGTCTGGTGCTTCAGCATACGGACTGCCTTCTCAAGTAGTTTCAGCATATGAATTTGTTCTTTTTTGTTGTTTACCGAGTAATATTTTGTATTATGTTGCTAAGTAATTTGTTCTATGCGAAACAAGATTATCATGGGCAGCAGTTGTGGTGCAAGTTGGTGGTGTGTTCATGTTTGTTGTAGTCCAAGTCTGTTGTGAACATGTTTGGTGGGTCTTGAGAACTCTGTGCACTCCCCGTTCAACTGCATTGCTATGAAACGGTGCAGACTCGGTGAAATGACTTTGTACATATGGTTGAAATGATTTATTTTTTTTATAAAGAAGACCTCTTTTCGGACGTTGCTTCCCTTTCCCCGGGAGCGAGACAGTTTGTATGGGATGTTGATTTGCTTCTACGCTTGCATTAACATGGGTCTGTAGTGTGTTCAGGAAACAGCCGTTTTTGTTTCCATAATGGGAGCTAACGTTGCAATCTCTCCTCTTCATGTTTCGATTTGTGCTGCAAGAGGAGAGACGGTGGTATGGGTGGAGGGGCACACACTGGAGGAATGACTGGGCGGCAAGGGTCACGTGATGCACCACCATCAGATGATGCATCGTATCCGAACGTATGGGGCCATTCCCCGTCAACATCAGGTTGGCGTGAGTCGAATATTGCACCGTCTAGGAACCGGGGGCCTGCACATGAGAATTTTGGGGATGTCCCGCACTGGCGAGAGCCAGAGATGCAGCTTCGCGGCCGAGGACCCACCCGAGACAGTGATGAGCTAGAAAGAGACGAGCGCTCTACGATGATGGAAAAGGCTGCGGGAGTAGCACTGAGTGCCTCCGTGGCTGCGGCAGTTGAACGAGCGATCAAGAGGCTGGTGGACAGGCAGGTTGATGTGCTGGAAGAGCTCAAGCAGCGCGTGGAGAAGGTGGAGTCTGCAGTGGAGAGGCTGGAAGGGATGACCTTTGACCTTCAGCGAATGGGAGGTGACAATCATGGAGAACAGGATGGGCGGCTGCGAGCTCTAGAGCATCTTGTGCGTGAGGTAAGGGGGAAATGTGCACACAACTTGCAATCACCATTGGTAGCTAGTGATTTTCCCTTCCGCTGTTTCAGATACTCAGAATGAATACCACATATAAGAGTAAAAACTAGACTTCCTACTACTATAGTCAAACAATTGACAACTTCAACTTTTCTTGAAATCCAGGTGACGGCTTTGAAGCGAAATGTCGTGGTTGGGAACGCTTGTTGGGCTTCCTGACTGGAAGTGGCTAATCTACATTGCTGTGTAGGGCCATACTGACTGTTTCTTCGAGTTTATTTGAGTGCGTGCTGAATTTTAACCGAAGAGGGACTCCGCATGATACTTCTGTTTGTGGTGTGGTGGCTGATTGTCACCTCTTGTTAGTATTTGAACTTCGTTTTGTCTGGAAATGTCTGGCGGATGTTGTTCGTCTGCAGTCTGAAATTTTGGTTGCATTCTTGTTTCTGACAGCCTGATGTTTCACAGAATGTCAACTTTTTGCTGATTGTTGCGTCAGGAATAGCAATCTGTGTGTTTCCATGTGCCACCAAGGGTTTGAGGGACTGATGTTGTGAGGACCGATGTTGTGAGTTCGAAGTTTGAAGCCACCAGTGATTGTGGTCTGTGCCTGTGTGCCATGCTGTTTGCTGTCTGTTTTGTGAGGCACGAGGATGTCTCCCATGATGTTTGTCAGTCTTGATTAATTGGTAGAGTAACAGGTGGAACGGATATCTGTTAAGTAAATTTTTGCCAGTATTTGCTGCTTTATTTCCAGGTCGTTTGGAGAAATAGATCCTTGTGTGTGTGTGTGTGAGAGAGAGAGAGAGAGAGAGAGAGAGAGAGAGAGAGAG